AAAAATTAGGTGAGCGAGATGAACAGGTGGTTGTTTGAAGCTAAAGACCCAGGAAGAGTTTACCATAAGGCAAATAGCATCTGATAGCTTTTTTTATGGCCAAGGCCTGAGAGAGGTGAGGCCTTGGTGGGTTACAGTACAGATATTGGAAAGGTGTAATCACACTGTTAGACCTCTTCCTGTACAATAGCCATTGGTTTTAAGCTGGTAGTAAAGGGTGGCCTGAAAGCCTTCGGATCAGTGTTTTTCAATCCTGGCAACTTTAACTTCTCCATGCTAGCTGGGGAATTCTGGGAATTAAAGTCCACATATCTTAAAGTTGCCATGGTTGAAAAATACTGCTCCAGATGGATTGGACTCCACTTTCTGGGAGTCATAATTTGAGGTATCTAGAGAACATAGGTTGGGAAAGTTTGGTATGTTTGGTTTTTAAGATCAGCTGCTATATTTTCTAACCTTTCATTTCTATCATTAGCTATGAAAGGGGATGGTGAACTGAATCCATGCTTCTCATTCATTCTTTGTTCATATAATTATGTTCATATTTGCTGACCATCATCTCTATATGCCTATTCATCCACTAGCTCCACCCAAATGCACTTTTCTTATCACTTAGCAGAAAAGGATCCTGATGTACATCTGTAGGTGGACGTAGTCCTTTTACATTGGCTCAGTGAATGGATAATTGTTCCTGCTGGCATGTGAGAGTGGGTGGGTCTAGCTCTATTTGATCTATTCTTGCAGGTAAGGGGATTGTGTACACCTTCCCACTCCAGTGTTCCTTTGCATTGGTCATGTTTTTTTAACTGTTTCTTCCAGGGAGTTTGAAGATATAGAAAACGCTGAATTCCAGCTAGATATATGGTAAGCAGAACTGGCTCTTCATTCCTACTGAATTTCATTGTTTCTCATTAAAATGTGAAGACAAGTGTTCCAAAGGAAGCCAGAAAGGCGATAGATTCATCAGGCAAACACAGTCCAACATAATGAGGGGGTAGCAGCAGACCACTTAGGAATGACCAGAGTGGAGCATATGCAGCCTGACTGAGCTTCCAGTGCATGTGTGCACCCACAAGCATAAGGCCACAGTTCGTGAACGGGTTGGAAAGAATTTTATCAACCAGGCTCTGCATTCTTTCTCCAGTTATTTAACGATTTGCACAAGATAAAAATATATAAACATACTTTTCAGATAACAGTGATTGGTTTGATATTTCATCCTGTGGCAGGCTCAAAGCAAACACGATAGTGCCCTAGAACTGTCAATCATCTCCCCAAAATATGCTTAATGTGAATAAATCCTTTTCTGAGTAAGCGGTACCTCTCACTACATTTCTTTCATGCTATGTCTCAAACAAGGAAATTCTTAAGGGAACTAATTTTGTACCTAGATGAACATTTAATATTCCTATAGGCTAACAGCCATAAAGTGAGCAAGGCTATCACGGATGTAAGTAAAGCAATAGTTGTGGAGGAGGGGCTCTCTTTATTTTTCTAATATGTCGACTATAGTTTGTTTCCCATCTGAAAATATCAAAGAACTGTGCTGTCGGTTTTCAAAAATTACTCAGAGGATGTTCTAAGGCAGGGCTTTTCAACCTTTTCACCCATTGTACCACTTTTAGAATATGGCAATATCTGAGTACCACCAGTTGCCTAGCAAGGTGTCAAAAACTTGATGACCCATTAAAAAAAGGAAAAAAGTAATGAAGTACAGGTAGTCCTCGACTTACAACAGTTCACTTAGTAACTGTTCGAAGTTACAATGGCACTGAAAAAAGTGCCCCCCAAGCCACAGCTGAGCAAGACACCTGCCTGCCCACCCGGCGGCGCTCTTCCCCCTGTCTGAAGTTTTCATTGTTGTGAGCATTTCTGTTGAGGATTGGCAGTGGGGGTGGGGTGGGGGTGTTTGGTTTTTATTCCCCCTGTCTGCTGGGTGGTTGCAGCAGGTTTTGGCCACTTCACATGACCCTGGGACACTGCAACTGTCATAAATATGAATCAGTTGCCAAGCATCTGAATGTAAATCACAAGGCCCTGGAAATGCTGCAACATTCCAGCTGATCGGCACTTCTTCTGGGCTCAGCAGAAGTGCCAGGATCAGCGCCGAGCTCCAGCTGGAGCCTGGCGCTGATCCTAGTGCTTCCACTGAGCCCTGACAGCCCCGAAGAAGTGCTGATCCTGGCGCTTCTGCTGAGCCCTGACAGCCCTGCAGCTCCAGCCCTCTCTCGCTCAGGCTTGTGCGGTGCTGCCACCGGTTCAGCTCATTCCCCTCCCCCGCTACCACTTTTCTAGGATGGTTGCGTACCACCTGCCAGGTGCCAATGTACCACAGGTGGTATCCGTACCACTGGTTGAAAAGCCTTGCTCTAAGGTCTTCAGAAAGGGACAAGGGATTATGGGCTGCAAACTGTTCACTTTTAAACATCTCTGAGGGATTGGAACCTCCCCTAAGTAAGCAAAATAAGAAGAGGTTATTTTAAGTCCAGAGACTGCTCTTCTTCACCTTTAGAAAAAAGTGCCAGCTCGGGGACAGATCATTTTGAAGAAGGTAGATATCTAGGTGGCTTCTGAGAGTCAACCCCCACTTGACAGCATATAATCAAACAATTGCTCTTTTTGCTTGATTTCTTTTCTTTCTGTTTCCCGGAGGTATTGAAAAGGAGTATCACAGCATATTTTTATTTGCTTTCTTTTAGGGATTTTGATGCTGTTGAACCTGTACGGCAGAAACTGGAGGAACTGACTGACCTCCGTGGCCTGAAGAGGTTTGGGCTGAGCCTTTTGTATATGAAATTCTATTAATTACACAATTCAGTTGATAAGACTAAACAAAACATTTAAATAAGGCAGCATATTCTGTTTCTCTTTGGTACGAGAGAAATGTTCTATCATCTTTGTCCTTGTTCTGCTTTTTCCTACTCAGAATTATTAAGGACGCTCGTAAAAATAAAGGACAAGACGATTTCCTGGGAAATGTGGTCATTCGTCTGCAGGTAAGATATGGAATAGCATGTTGCCAGAATAATACTGGGAGACACACACACACCACCTCGATCTTGGGCAGAGAAGTATTTCTTTAGCTCTGATCTGTCTAGGCCCTTAGACACTTAGACGGCAACATAAATGCCATTAAATAAAAAGGTAAACTGAAATTTCAAGTGAAGTGTGGCTTTTATGTGACATGAAACAAGTTGGTAGCAGAATATGTCACCTTGCTCTAAATAAATCTGAGACTCCTTTTACAAACACTAGACCTGATGAAAATGGTGTAAGAAAACGATAGATTTTACTGGAGTAATCAGAAAAATACTGAAAAGGCCTATATTGCAGGCCTCGGTGTCAATTTCTATTTGGTCTCTGGATAGTACATGACCAGGGTTTATGAGAACTTGAGTGGCTCTATAAAGATCTTCAGCTATGCCAACTACAACTTAATTCAAGAACAGATTTATCTTTCCTAGCTAGATGCCATACAGATGTCTTGGACTCCAGGTCCCACAGTTCCCAGCTAGCATCAGAATTGTGGATTTGGTTCAATAAATCTGGAATGCAATAAATTGGGGGGGCTGGAAACCACAAATGTGTGCTTGTTACTAGGGAATATTCCTGAAGAATCTTCTTAGGGTCTGTACTCATGAATCAATCATTACTACTGATATAACTGGGAGCAGAAGAAAGTCCAGTTGAAGCCATTAATTCTTGTGCTGAAATTCAATTACAATACAATGAGGTAAAATAGGTGGATCCATTTGAGCGATTCCTCTTACTTGCTCAATTTCTTAATTTCTAAATTAATTGAGACACTGCATTTCCTGATGAAAGTAAGGTAATCCTCAACTTAGAACAGTTCATTTAATAACCATTCAAAGTTACGACAGCACTGAAAAAAGTGACATGATCGTTTTTCACATTTACGATCTTTAAAGCATCCCCATGATCGTGTGATCAAAATTCAGATGCTTGGCAACTGGTTCATGCTTATGACCGTTGCTGTGTCCCAAGGCATGTGATTCCCTTTGACAACTTTTTCACAAGCAAAAATCAATGGAGAAGTCAGATTTACATAACAACCACGTTACCGACTTATCAACTGCAGTGATTCATTTAATAACTGTGGCAAAAAGGTCATAAAATGAGGGCAAAACTCACTTAACAAATATCTCACTTAACAGAAAATTTTTGCTCAGTTGTGGTCATAAGTTGAGGATTACATGTAGAACCATTTTATGGAAACGTAGTAGAAATGGAGAAACTGCACTTTTAAGAAGTAACATGGTTCATTACTTCTGAGCTAAGACTTTTCACCACACTTGTGTAGGACCTGCATTGTCGGGAGGATCGCTGGTACAGGCTGGAACCTCGCACTGATACTTACCCCAACCGAGGGCATTGCCACCTGCAGTTTCTTTTGGTACATAAGAAGGTAGGAATAAGAGGAATCAATTTCCCATTACAGAAAGGAAGTGTACTTTATAAATTTTTATTTAAACAGTTTTGATTCATTTAAATTTTAAGACCTGTTCAATACAGTTGCCTTCATTTGCTGCAATCTTTGAGAAAAAGGTTGGCCTATCATTGAGATAGGACAGGATCTTTTTTTCTTGTAGGGAGCTGGTTGGGAAACTCTTCCCCCCTTTTCACAAAGAGAGAAGACACTCAGATATTCTAAATTGCTGTTCTGATGTGACATTTTATGACTTTAAGAGCCAATTAAAACTGTACTGATGAAAGATTGACTTATGGATTTGGAGCCTGCTTTAGCTTATGTTTTGGAGAAAGATAAATATATCTTACACTAATGCATCAAGGACTTATTGTTACCATGTTTAAATGTTCAATGATATGTGGTTTCTGTAACTGTGAACATAGATGTATATGTAAGTATTCTAATACTGTATCTTCTAAGAGCTGGATCTGTGTATTTTTTAAAAAAAAATTTAGAGAGCTACTTCGGCCAGCAAGACACAGGCAAATTACACAGTTCATCGGCAACTTCTTCAGCAGATTGTTTCATATGAGATTCTTCAATACCAGGTAAATAGATAAACAAGAAACTGTTAAGTGGAATATGATAGAGTGACATATGATCAGCTGTTCTCTGTAAGACAAGTGGACTCCATATAGCAGTCAGTTCATCTGACTTGTTTGCCCTTTTCAGCTCTTCTCTGAAGTCAAGACTCAAATTTGGTTTGAAGCCCAAGCTCTGCCCTCAGTTGAAATCTCAGGAAGACTTATGGCAAAATTTCAGGACTGTAAACTGATTCATACATCTAAAAGATACCGTAGAAACTTTACTCTGAGTTGATGAAGTTGTATCTGTTCCATGGACGACCAATTGCAAAACAGATTCCTACAATCTTGGAATGGCACGATAGATCTTTCCTATTTGAATCCTAACGGCTTTCTTGAGAGTGATTAAATTGCTTTTATGCAATTTACTTGCTCTCCCATTTTTGGAACCAAAGATTCAGTGTTGGAAGGTATCTTACAAACTATCTAGTCCAACATGCTGCTCAATGCAAGATCCACTAGACTAGAACATTTCTAACAGATGACCATCCACCCTGTGTAAGAAGGCCTTCAGAGAATGAGAATTCACCACTTCATGTGGCAGTCTGTTCCACTGACTGAGAACTCATTCCTACAGACATTTAGCTTGAATCTACTTCCCATGTAGTTTTAACCTGTTGGTTCTGGTTCTGTTTTCTGGGGCAGTAGGAAAATAAGGCCACTTCTTCTTTGTCAACTGTTAAGTTATTTGAAAATATCTTTTGTGACTCATTTCAGGAGTTTCTTCTATGGGCTAAATAGACTCAGATCCTTGTTCTGGACCTGCTCCCTTGGGGAAAAAATAAGTTTACTCCCTTTTCTTTGTTACAACAGATGATTCCTGTCATATCTCCCCCTTAGCTATCCTTTCCGTAGGCTAAATATACTCCGATCCTTTACCTGTTCCTCATAGGGCTTGGTTCCAGATCCTTCACCATTTGAGTCACTGTCCTGTGAACTTGCTCCTGTTTATCAATATTCTTTTTTGGTGCAGAGAACTGGACACACTGTTTTGTGTGGAGTGAATTACATCCTGTAAGCTCACATCTATTCTCCTGTTAATGCACCCTGCATAGCAGTTGCCTCAAAGTGCTGGCTCATATTTAACTGTAATACTGCCAGTCCAGTTCTCTCCTATCCTGTGCCTGTGCCTTTCATTTTTCCTGCAGAGATGCCAGATTTTATATGTCTACCTGTTAAATTGTATAGTGGCCAAAATTATGGAAACCTTTTGGGAAAAGTGTATAGTAGAAATGCCACCTTTGGTTAAGTTTCCACCAATTTTTCTTCTAATTTCTTTATAACTGTAGCCTTGTTCACTTAATAATACTATTTTACATCGCTTTCTGGGCAACCAGTCAACTCTTTGTACCATTACTTTAATTTTATTACGTTTTACAAGCTCACTAAATGAAAGGAGAAAAAAACCCAACCAACTTGATAGCGATCACATAACACACTGACAAATGTCCTCCTCTTAGCTTCAATACATGACATCAATAATTGAATCCTACTGTGATCTGATTGGCTCATTGCCAAAACAAGATGATGCCTGATTGGCTCTCTAAACACTCATGCTCATTGGCTACAATCAGATGAAGGAGAGCTACCTGATATCAACCTAAGCAAGTTATGCTTCCTTTTTCTGGTTATTTGGCTATAACTTTTCATAGAATACAGTACAGATAATTGAACAAACTATGATGCATTACATTCTTGATTAAATTATCTTTCCATTGATATATATTTTTATGGTACTACTAAAAAAAATGTGGTGTTATTAGCCATCAAACCTCAAAAATACACTTTTCCCAGAAGGTTTCCACAGTTTTGGCCTCTACTGTATACTAGCCTATCCATATCCTGCTGAATCTTCTCCCTTTCCGCTAAAATATCAGTCACTCCTCCCAGATATCTATCACCCTGATAATTTCCTCCAAGCTGAAATGGAGCCATTTACTCTTTAGTCAATTAAAAATGCTAGGTAAATGGGGATTGCATTGAACTAAGTTTCAGAAGAAAGAAAGACCTGGACATAATACAGGTAATTGTTGTATTTGCAAAACGGTGAAGCAATGGATATGCTGTCTTTTCCCCACCATCTGATATCACAGAGAGCCGTTCATTGTTCTCTTTCACTGCAGGCTGGCAGCACTTCCTGGGATGGAGAGTTAAGCAAATATGCCGGTACTATCCTGTATCTACACGCTACTCAAAAAGACATTTCGGATTTCCACCAAGACTTGGTGTAAATATCACCTGCATGCTTCCCCCCAAGGCAACATTCTGGAAACCAAAAGTTCCTGGCACTTTCTGTCTACCCACCCCCTTAAAAAAAGTTGGGTTCTTTTCTATTGCCTGAGAGCGTTGCAATTTTATTAAAATGTGCAGGCATGCCATGAGACCAGGGTTTAGTACTATCCCTAGAATTCCATCCATGAATTCAATAATTTTGACTTTTCTTTTCAACTGGGATTTCCTTGATTCTTTACTACATCCTGCCTATTGAATGTGATTCCTGCAATGGGCTTTGCCAAGGAATTGCACACTACAATTTCTGCCGTTTTTAACTTCCATTTCTGCACTACGCCTCTAAACCAATAGATGTTTCCCAGCAAACTGGCAAAATCCGCCAATTTGACTAGATACCTAATCTATATACAGATAGTCCTCAACCTACGACCACAACAGAGCCCAAAATTTATGTTGCTAAGTGAGAAACTTGTTAAATGAATCTTGCCCCATTTTACGACGTTTCTTGCCACATTTGTTAAGTGAATCGCTGCAGTTAAATTAGTAACACGGTTGTGAAGTGAATCTGGCTTCCCCCTTGACCTTGCTTGTCAGAAGGCTGCAAAAGGTGGATCACAGGACCTCGGGACACTGCAACCGTCATAAACGTGAACCAGTTGTCAAGCATCCAAATGTAAATCACATGACCATTGGGGATGCTGCAACAGTCATAAGTGTGAAAAATGGTCATAAGTCACTTTTTTCACTGCCATTGTAACTTTGAACGGTCACTAAACAAACTGTTGTAAGTCAAGGGCTATCTGTAGTTTGTTTGGGCCACTTAATGCGAGATGCTTTTGTTTCTAATTGTACTTTTAGCAGGTTTTTCCTTGGGCGCTCAATGCTGCTTTCCTTCCCTTGTTCATCTAGGCACTGGCTGGCTTACAGCAAGCTCTATCAGTTCTTGGAGTTCAACAGCAGCTGCCTGCTCCATCAGATAACCAGCATAGAATATCAATGGATTCAAGGCCGATTACGATCTGAGCAGGTAAGAAAGGAAGAGCTGGGGAACTACAGGCAGTCCTCGACTTATAACACTTCACTTAGTGACCGTTTGAAGTTACAGCGGCACTGGAAAAAGTGACTTATGACCATTTTTCACACTTACGCCTGTTGCAGCATCCCTGTGGTCATATGATTTACATTTGAATGCTTGACCACTGACTCACATTTATGACATTTATGACGGTTGCAGTGTCCTAGGGCCGCACAATCACCTTTTTCGACCTTCTGGTAAGAAAAGTCAATGGGAAAACCAGATTCACTTAACAACCGTGTTACAAACTCAATAACTGCAACGATTCGCTTAACAAATGTGGCAAGAAAAGTCGTAAAATAGGGCAAAACTCACTTAACAAGTTTCTCACTTAGCAACATAAATTTTGGGCTCAATTGTGTTCGTAAGTTGAGGACTGCCTGTATATGGCTGGTGGAACATTCCCTGTCCAGCTAAAGACATCCTTGGTTCTAACATCAGACACGTATCCATTATGTGCGTTGTATAGTTTTGCATGCCTATCCAATAAATAGGATTGAAATACATCTCTCTTAGCATAATGTTAGTGGATCAT